ATTGAAATACAATTTTGCACTGAGTACTGAATTAGGTCCAGATTGACGTATACGATGTTTTGTTGGAATCGGTTTAGATTTAGATATAGGTCCTATATATAGTAAATAGGTAAATAGTGCACCAAACTCCCAATAAGGTAAATGGAGACAAAATATTGCACAGAAGTTTATGTTCTATATTACGAAATTTTGCAGCGATATGTATTATATTTAGAATGAAATGATGCACCAAACTTCCAATATTGGCCCGATTGAAATAAAATTTAGCACAGAGTACTGAATTAGGTCTAGATTGATGTATGCTAAGTTTGGTTGAAATCGGTTCAGATTTAGATATAGCTCCCATATATAATTTCGTCCGATTTTAGGTAGATGATGCACCGAAGTCCCTATATATCATTCGATTTGCACGAAATTTGGCATAGCGTACTAAATTAAGTGTAGAGAGATGTGTGTTAAATTTCGTGATAATCCGTTCAGATTTAGATATAGCTCCCATATATATTTTCGTCGATTTTAGGTAAATTGTGCACCAAACCTCCAATATTGGTCCGATTGAAATACTATTTTGCACAGAGTGCTGAATTAGGTCCAGATTGACGTATACGATGTTTTGTTGGAATCGGTTTAGATTTAGATATAGCTCCCATATATATTTTCGTCCGATTTAAGGTAAATGGAGCACCGAGAAGTTTATGTTCTATATTCACGAAATTTTGCAGCGTGTATTGAATTTAGAATGAAATGATGCACCAAACTTCCAATATTGGCCCGATTGAAATAAAATTTAGCACAGAGTACTGAATTAGGTCTAGATTGATGTATGCTAAGTTTGATTGAAATCGGTTCAGATTGAAATATAGCTAATATATATATTTTAGTCCGTGTTTATGCAAATGGTGCAAATGGAGTAGCCCATATCTGTTCGCTTTACATAAAATATTACATAGCGTATTGGATTGAAGACGTTTCAAGTTTAAATATAGCTTTCATATATAATTTCATACGATTTCATCAAAATGATGTACCAAATAACTAAAGTTTGTCCGCTTAGGACGAATAAGTGCACAGCGTATCAAATCGAACCTCGAATGACGTGTATTGGATTTAGTGTCGAGATAAATTTTGGATAGCCAATAGTGTTGCAGCATACCATATGGTGGATGCCAGGGTTGCTCAATGACGTCCATTTTTTTGTTTCTTTTGAAATACATTGAAAGTCATATTTTTGGTCCATCTATGATTTAAAGTGTGTGAGTAAGTGATCTTAAGTATGTGTCTTAAGTCTTTCTATTCATTTCATCATTGAGAGCAATCCATAAGAATGAAAGAGAGTGCACTATTTGTCATTAGTAACGGTGTTTGTCTCTTAAGTCTTTATATTCAATTAAGGACACATAAAAAAGCATGCGAGAGAGCGAGTCAGAGTGTGATTGAGTTGTGATGAATTAGAGAGATTGAGTGTGCAAGAGAAAACATTACAACGGCAATATGGAGCATGTGTCTTACGTCTTTTAATGGAATTGATAAATAACATTGTTTATTTAAGAATGAAATGAGAGTGAGAGAGAATAATGGTCGATAAGACTATGAAGTATGTGTCTTAAATCTATTGATTAAATTGTCAGGAATGAAAAGCTAAGGCAAATGCGTGATATAAATTATGAAGAGAAGAGTGATATATGAAGAGTGATATAAATTATGATATAAATTATGAAAGAAAGCTTTTAATTTAATTCATCAGACGAAGTCTTAGGAATATTTTTTTGTGAAATTATTTAATATCCCTTTTTAAAAACAATTTGTAATACCCGTAATCACCTTAAAATTCCAATGGAAATTTTTGGTCTCCAATTTTTCTCCTCCGCAATTTTCCCAGTCGTTATAATTTTTTGTTTTGTTTGTTTATTCATTGCGTGAGGTCAAAGACATTATTTCCATCACATACATAATTGTTGCAGCAACCAAATAAATAGAAATGATTCTATGTTAACGTTAATAAAACAAGAAAAAAAGTACCATTGTTATGGTAATTAAGTCTTTTACAAGCGTTTAAAAGCCCCTTCCAAACACCATCAGCACCAAGAAGGCAGAGAAGAAGAAGTAGCAGAAAAAACAGCCAAAAATCGGAGACACCAAACAAAATAAAGAAACCAAACTTTGCAAATGAATGACCTTGTATATTGTGTAATAATCTACATATGTATTTACATGTATATGCATGTGTGTGTGTGTGACAGACGAAAAAGACATCAAAACAAACTTGACGTAGTGACAAAGCTAACGTGAAAAAGACGATTTAAAAACCAATTTGCCACAAAGTAAAGAAAATGAAATGTTAACAGCAAATACTCATGTTTGTTAGGTGTTTGAGGGAGGGGAGTGAGGGAGAGGTGGGGGTAGGTGTTTGAATAATGGTTTTGAAATAAAAAAGAAGTTGGATTTGTTTACGTGAAGTGGCGGCAAGACGTGTGTTTGATTTTTTCCGACAATGTAATGAAAAGAAGCTTAGGTGGTTTTTTCTTAATTTAGAAGAAGAGAGAGAGAGATAGAAATGAAGAAACGTTGTAGGGGTGTTGGTATAAAAAAATAAAGGTTATATATATTTTTAATTTCAATTTAATTATTTTTTTTACTTATTCCAGTTGGAATTGGTATACAAATTATTAATTTTATTATTATTTTTTAATTTAACTTCTACTTTACATATTCATTTGTCATTGGCCTCCTTAGAGAGAGAGAGAGAGATTAATTTATTTTAATATTAATTTTCTTATCAGGATTTTGAATGGGGTTGTGGGGTTGAAAAAGTAGCCTTTTTTATTGAAAAAAATTATTATTATTTTGTTTTTTAATGTAAAAACATCCCACAAGCCAGCAATATTATCGACGAATTCAGTAGCCATTGGCTTGAAAAAAAAGTGGAAACGAAGCGGATTTTGATTTATTTAATTTAATTTATTTTAATTTTTTGACAAATTCAGTAGCTATTGGCTTGGAAAAAATTCCCTGGGTAGTCCCTGAAAAACGGATTTTTTTATTGATTAACTGAAAGTATAGACTTGAGCCACTGTAATTATCCAATGGCGTCCTTCGAGACAGCTTAATTTATTTTAATTTTTTCTTATAAGGATTTTGAATTAGTCCCTGAAAAAATAAACTATTTTTGGTTGAATAAAAAGTTATAAACTTGAGCCACTGTAACCCATCCCAGAAGCCATCTGTATTATTGACGAATTCAGTAGCCATTGGCTTGGAAAAAATTGCCTAGTTTAGTCCCTAAAAAAATATGTTTTTACTGTTTAAAAATAAAATAGACTTGAGCCACTGTAACTCAGACTTCAGCCACTGTAATCATCCCCCGGAAGCTAGCCATATAATTAAAGAATTCATCAGACATTAGATTGGAAAAATTGCCTGGGTTAGTCCCTGAAAAAAATAAATTTTATTTTATTGATTGAATGAAAATATGGAATTGAGCCACTGTAATTCATTATCCAATGGCCTCCTTAGAGACGGCTTTATTTATTTTAAATTTTTTCTTATCAGGATATTGGCTGGTTTAGTCCCTCAAAAAATAGACTATTTTTATTGAATAAAAATTATAGACTTGAGCTACTGTAATTCATCCCAGAAGTCATCCATATTATTGACGAATTTATTATCCATTAGTCTCCTTAGAGAGAGCATAATTATTTTTTTTTCTTATCAGTATTTTGGCTGGGGTTTCTCTGTGAAAAAAAAACAAAATTTTTTTTTTGTTTAAAAAAATATAGATTTGAGCCACTGTAATCCACAACAGAAGCCAGCCGTATTATTGACGCATTGAGTAGCAATTGGCTTGGAAAAAAATTGCCTGGGTTAGTCCCTGAAAAAAAATATTTTTTTTATTGATTAAAAAAATATATACTTGAGCCACTGTAATTCATTATCCAATGGCCTGCATAGAGGCATTTTAATTTATTTTATTTTTTTCCTATCAGGATTTTGGCTGGTTTCGCCCATGAAAAAAAATCTATTTTTTTAAATAAAAAATTGTGAATTTGAGCCACTGTAATCCATCCCAGAAAACAGACATATTATTGACGAATTCATTAGCCATTGGCCTCCTTAGAGACAGCTTATTTTTTATTTTATTTTTTTGTTATCGGGGTTTTGACAGTTTTTTGTTTTTTTATTTAAAAAATTTAACTTGAGCCACTGTAACCCACCCCAGAAGCCTGCGATATTGTTGATTGGCCTCCTTAGAGGCATCTTAATTTATTTTATTTTTTTATCAGCATTTTAGCTGGGGTTTGTCCATAAAAATTGTAATTTGTTTATCAAAAAATTACTTGAGCCACTGTAATCCACCCCAGTAGCCAGCCATATTATTGACGAATTCATTAGCCATTGGCCTCCTTAGAGACAGCTTAATTTATTTTAATTTTTTCTTCTGCAAAAAAAAATTAAGATTTCCGCCGAGACGACAATAAGGAACCAAAGTGGAAACGAAGCGGTATTGAAGATGTCCACATAACATAGTTGTTGTTTTTGTTGTTGTTTTTCTTGTTGCTTGGCTTGTTAATATTGTAACAAGGCAAATCAAAATCCAAAATTGTTTACAATTTGTTTTAATTTTCATTCGAGCCAACCAAGCGGCTGCCACAAGAGAGTTAATGAGCTTTAATGTGGTGACTGACACGCGCCAAAGAGACAGAGAGGTCGTAAAGATTAGACGACCATAACAGTGAACAACAGACGAGATGGCATGGCAGACTAGTCAAAGATATTGCCATGCAAAAGAGAGCATAAAGCGAAGCCAATGTCTATCTGAGAAACTGAGTAGGGTTTCGAATTTTTATTTTCGTTTTTTCGGTTTGCTATAAAAGCCAATCCGGCCATGCAGAGTAGAAACATAAATCTGACGACTCTGCAACCAAGCACTTGTGGATTACCGCTGTGGGTTGCATTTGATTTAGAGCGAAGGAAGGATTATTTAATTTTTTGCCAAGGATACAATGAGGAGATTTGTAAGTCGCCGGAATTTTTGTGAAGAAAAAAAGTTCGGAAAAAATTCGAAATAATTTTTATAGTTCGGCAGAATTTTTGAGCTGAAAAAAATCTGAAAAAATTTTAATTATTTTTTTTTTATTTTTTCTCTTCTTAGAGTGCCGTTTTAATTTTCTGGCTGGTGGCCACTGTGGTCCGCGCCGACATCAGTGATAAATTGGAAAAGAAATCTGTGGACCAGGCCTCGGATAAGAGCAGTGATGCAAAACCCAAAAGAGATGCCTCATTTTTGGTGGGCAATCATGGCAGCTATCATGGACCTTCGTATAAATATTTGCCACCAAGTCCAGGAGTAGCCAGCAGCTATGACTCGTATAGTGGTTCATCTTCTCTAGGTGGTGGTCATCATCATCGTCATCATTCCAGCCTGGGTGGAGGTCTGAAATTTGTGGGTGTCAGCCATGGCAGCTATCCCGGCAGTTATGCCTCAGGACCTTCGTACACTAGCAGTTTGGGAGGTCATGGTTCTGGTTTTGGTCATGCCATCAAATCAAGTGGTCCCTCATATGTCATTGGGGGTCATGGTGTCGGACATGGAGCTTCCTCCTCATCCTCCTTTGGTGCGGGACATGGTTATGCCCATGGCTTTTCTTCGGGACCCAAAGTGATTACCGCCGTACCCAGTTATTCTTTGAGTGCTGGCCATATTGGTGCAGGTTCCGGCTTGGCAGGAGGTTATCACTATTCCAAGGGTATTAGTGGATCATTGCCCACTTTGGGAGGAGGTCATGGTGGATTTGGTGGTTCATCGGGAGTGGGTCATGGCATTTCTTCCGGACATGGTGGCTTTTCATCTTCCGGAATTGGTCATGCCGTTTCCTCAGGCCATGGCGGATTTTCATCCTCTTCGGGAGCTGGCCATGCCATTTCAGGTTTCGGTGGCTCCGGTTTCTCTGCACAAGGAGGCTACTCCTCTGGCGGCCATTCCGAGGTCCATCACTCCGATCATGTTCACAATGGCAATCAGGAACATCATTACATTGTTAGCACTACAAATCAAAATTCAGGAGTTGCCACTCAATCTTCAGATTCGGGTTATCAATATGAAGCCCCTGCTGCCACATATTTACCACCCGTCATACCCTCCAATAGTTATGGTCTACCCATTTCGGCGGTAAGTGCCACCTATACACCCCAATATCAAGATTCTGGCGATGAGGCACCAGTTTATGCTGCCGGTCACAAGGGTCTAGGTCATTTCTCATTTACCTCCAATAAACCCAATGTTTTGCACACAAATTTTATTGGTTCCGGCTTCAAGACCCCCAGCTATAGTAAGGTACCATTCAAACCCTCCACCTTTTTGGGTACGAAATTTGAAGGCTCCTCATCATCATCATCAGGAGCTGGAGCTGGCGTTGAATCACCCAATCAACAATATTTACCACCCTCCAGTGGTGGCTCAGCCAGTGAGGCCTCAGGTTACGACTATCCCATACCCTCTGGAGCCACCTTGGAATATCATGACACCAGCTATCAATCCGATGCGGGTTTGGGCAATCATCAACAGCCTGAGGCCAATTATTTGCCACCCCATGATAGCTCTGCCACACCCAATGCTAATTATTTACCACCCAGTGGTAGTTCATATGGCCATTAGAAAAATCACTTCAATCACTCATTGTCTATTCTCTCATATTTAAGTGCTGCATTTAATTTAATTTATTTTTTATGAACTCACACACATACACACTCAAACACACGAAAATTGTATTATAATTTAAGTGAATAAATTGTAAATACCCCCAAAACACCCTCATTTGTTTTATTTTTTTCCAATTTATAATTCATCTCACACATTGGCACAGAAGAAGAAGCAGAGAGTGTGACCATAACAAGAAGAAAAACTTTCCAACATTTTATGGTTTCCAATTGATTGATTGATGACTTAGATTAAATTCCGCAAATGGCATTTTGGCAAACTATCCCCATAGAGAGAGAGAGAGACATCACCAAAAATGTTTAAATCAGTTGCCAAGAATATTTATTTATGACTTGCCACTTGCGAACATGCAAATTGAAATTGGTTTATTGGGCAAAGCATGAACAAACGTGCTGGAAATATTTAATGTCTCAATTAAATTGAAAGGGAAATCCACATAACAAAATGTAAATGATCTCATTGTTTTGTGTTGTTACATGGAATATTAAAATAAAATAATTTTCCAAAAAAAGAAATCAAAATCAACATCAAAGAAAAAAATCTTTCACCTGTTACAATTTCTTTCTTTGGAATTTGTATTTTAATTTGTCATTCAAAAAAAAAAAAAAAAAAAAAAAAAACAAACCAAAACCCCAAAAAAAAAATTGACTCATATGGCTACTTTTTCCCTTTTTCGTGTTTGTGTCTTAAGTCTTTTGTTTTGATAATTGTCACTTTAATTTCACATTACGATTATTGCTTAAGTCTGTTTTTCTTGTCTATTGAAATTTCTCTTTCATGTGTGCGTGTCTTAAGTCTTTTGTTTAGATAGCAATTCAAGTGCAACGTTTGAGTCTTAAGTCTTTTGTTTGCTGTAATCAAATCAAGTTCAAAGTTTGTGTCTTAACTCTTTTGTTTAACACATCAAGTTCAGAGTTCGTGTCTTTAGTCTTTTGTCAAACGCATTCCATTCAATTTCAAGTCTTAGGTCTTTTGTTTAGTGGAATTAATTAAAGTTAAAAGTTTGTGTCTTAAGTCTTTTCTTTAGGTAATAATTTAAGTCAAAAAGTTTGTGTCTGAAGTCTATTAGTGCAATGTGCGTGTTTGTGCCCTAAGTCTTCTATTTGACATTTTTTCACTGAAGTTCAGAGTTCGTGTCTTAAGTTCGATATTTTAAAATTAGTTCAATTATTAGTGTCTTTCTCTCTCTCTCTCTCTGTCTTTGATGAAGGGTGCGTGTTTGTGTCCTAAGTCTTTTGTTTGACATTTTTAATTTAAATTTTAATGTTCTTGGTGAAATGTGTGTGTGTCTTAAGTCTATTGTTTGATATTGTCTTTGGTTCAAGTTCAGAGTTCGTGTCTTAAGTCTTTTGTTTAGCAAATTTCATTCAAATTCAAAGTTTGTCCCTTAAGTCTTTTATTTGTAGATATTAATTCAAGTTCAGAGTTCGTGTCTTAAGTCTTTTGTTGGATAGTTATAAAAACAGTTCATTATGATTTTCTCCCCATCTCTCTCTTTTTGGTGAAATGTGCCTGTTTGGGTCCTAAGTCTTTTGTTTGACATTTTTCATTCAAGTTTGAGGTTTAAGTCTTTTCTCTCCCCATTAAAATATCATTCCAATTAAGTCTCCCTTTGCATTAGCAAAATGTGTTCAAAGTTTGTGTTCTAAGTCTTTTGTGTACAAAAATTAGTGCAAGTTTAGAGTTCGTGCCTTAAGTCTTTTGTTTAATGGTTATAAAAACAGTTCAATTATGATTCTGTCTCAATCTCTCTCTCTCTCTCTTTGGTTCTAAGTCTTTTGTTTGACATTCTTTTCATTCAAGTTTGTGATTTAAGTCTCTTCTCTTCCCATTAAAATATCGTCTCAATTACGTTTCTCTCCCTCTGCATTATTGACATATCTGTGTTCGTGTCATAAGTCTTTTGTTTGATATTGTTTTTGTTTCCAAATCACAGTTTATGTCTTAAGTCTTTCATTTGCCCATTAAAATATCATCCCAATTATGTCTCCCTCTCTCCTTTCATGAAATATGCGTGTTTGTGTCCTAAGTCTTTTGTTTCATATTATTTTTGATTCTAGTTCAAAGTTCGTGTCTTAAGTCTTTGGTTTGCTGATAATAATAGCATGTCATGTTATATTCTCCTCTCTCTCTCTCTCCTTTTCATTGGTGAAATGTGCATGTTCGTGTCCTAAGTCTTTAGCAAGTCTCTCGTTCTCATTTGCTCTTCCTCTCTCCACATTTATTTGAAGTCAAACTACGTTCTTTCTGTAACAAAATTTTATAAGTGTTTCCTTCCCAAATTCATGTGAACATGCTCACTCTCTCCCACCCTTTCTCATCTCTCTCTCTCTTTCCTACACTCTCCATAAATTCAATTAAAGAAGCATGTGATTCATGCTGTATCAAAACTTCATAACTGTTTACCTTTAGCATTTCATATGGTAACTACTAAGCTCTCACTCATTCTCTCACCCTCACACACTCCTCCTCTCTCTTTCTCATTCTCTCTATCTCTATAACATTAATTGAAGCCGTGTGTATTTCTTTCTGTAGAACATTTCATAACTGTTTCTTTACCGCATCAAATGGACAATATAAATCTCAGACTGCCTCGCTCTCTTCCCCTCCCTCCCCCTCACTCTCTCACACATTATAATTAAATACCCCCACATAGTAAATGTATTCTGTTTCTTTTGTTTTATATTTAATAGCCATTATGTGATGTGATTTGACAATTAAAAAGAAATAAAAAACAATTGCATTTCTATCAAACCTTATGACATATCAGATTAACGCACGCACGCACACACACACAGACACTCCCATGCTCTCATGTTATTAGCTATGACGTCACATGTGATTAAAAGTAAAACAAACTCTCATCTTTGTAATGTGTTTGTGTGTGCTAACTAAACGGCCAGCCATATGCCAAATGCAAACAAGCCTTACCGAAGATCTTTATTAGCTAACCAATGACAGAAAGTGAATGTCAGTGAACATTGTCTTCTTCTTCTTCTTCGGCGCCTGCTAAGCCCTCAGCTGAAATAGAAAACTGTAATCGGAGTAAAAGTGCTGGAGAAATTTTTTGTGTTTTTTCGCTATTATTTTTTTTTTCTTTGAAGTGGGTAGTTTAGAAATGTGTAAACTATGTTACATGGATAAAATATTACTATAAGTAGAATAATTAATTAATAAAATCAAATTTTAAATAATGAGAAAAAAAGATAAAAAATGATTATTTAATAAAAAAAATATTTTTAAACCAGTATAGAAAGTAGTAAAGTCGGACTGAGCCGACTATATGTCACCCTTCACCACTTTAGGTATATTGTACATAAGTATCCTAACGATTGCATATCAATGTGCGAAGGAACATGCTCATGCCTTTCCGCAATCTATGCTAAATTTAATTTCATTCGGGCAGATATAGAGTCGTCTGCGTACCATGGGACAAATTTATGGTAAACGATTTATAGCAAAATTGATACACCCTATTCGGCGAGCCGCAGTGTTAAAAATATGGAATATGGCTGCATCTGCACCAATTTCAACAAAACCCAATAACGTCATCCAAGTGTTAATTTCATACGTAGTGCAAAATTTCGTGTTAATCGGACGAACATTAGGAGTTTGGTGCACCATTTACCTAAAATCGGACGAAAATGTATATGGGAGCTATATCCAAATATGAACCGAATTTCGTGAAAATCGAAATATATGTAGGTGTATCGTTTATCTTAAATCGGACAAAAATATATATGGGAGCTATATCTAAATCTGAACCGATTTCTGGAAATTTAACACACATCGTTCTAGACATAATTCAGTACGTTATGGCAAATTTCGTGAAAATCGAAAGATATGTAGGTAGACCATTTACCGTAAATCGGACAGAAATATACATGGGAGCTATATCTAAATCTGAGCCGATTTTCTGGAAATTTACCACATACCATTCTAGACCTAATTCATGTAGGTGGACCAGATATGTAGGTGGACCATTTACCGTAAATCGGACAAAAATATATATGGAAGCTATAAATCTGAAGCGATTTTCAGAAAACTTAACACACATCATTCTAGTCTCAATTCACTACGCTATGCCAAATTTCGTGAAAATCGATATATAGAGGTACTTTGGTGCACAATTTACCTTAAATCGGACGAAAATATATATGGGAGCTATATCTGAATCTGAACCAATTTTTCCCAATTTCAATAGGGTTTGTCCTTGGGCCAAATAAGTGAGCTGTGCCAAATTCGACCTGCACTTTGTTTACAATTTAACATCAACAGACGGACGGACGGACAGAAAACCAGACGGGCGGACGGACGGACTTGCATTAATCGCCTCAGAAAGTGATTCTATGCATATTCTCAAAAGGAACCATGGGCCTATCTCGTTTCCTTTTGCCTTTTACAAACATATGCGCAAAGACATAATACCCTGTACCACAGTGTGGTGAAGGGTATAAAACTTATTATTTAATAAAAAAAATTAGAGCATAAAAAAACATTTTTAACAAATCTACGCCTATTGTAAGAGCCTGAAAAATATTTAAAAAAATATTTATTAAAAAATATTTTTACATAATCAACGCTTATTTTTTGAGCCTTGATTTTTTTTAAATTCACACCTGTTATAAGGCTCTAAAAAATATTTTTTTGAAATATACACACCTATTTAGATACCCTGAAAAATATTTCAATTGAAGCCCATAATTCTCCATTGCAAACTAAGAATAAAGTTTGGGTCTTAAGTCTAAGTCCTTTGCAGTTCTAATTGGAGAGAGAGAGAGAGAGGGTGAGATATCAAAACAGCCAAATACCGTAATAATTGTGATGCCGTTCGCTATAAAATATCACACAATGAAGTATGTGTCTTAAGTCTTTTTTGCTGAAGTGAGAAGCAAGAGAGTATACATCAATATGGGTGTTGTAAATATGCTCTTAAC